GGGTGTGGTTTGGGGGCAGGGAGGGGGGGGGGGTGCGGGGTTATGTCTGTAATGTTCTCTTTCCTTGCTATGGTCTGTAATGGTAGCCTGTCTGTAAGGGGAGCGGGTGGGGGAGTCGCAAAAACTCGAACTTAAAACTTACACTCACTATTTTCTTCGAGAATATATGTGAGTTCCACAAAACTTATACGAACCAGTTAGCAGAGATTGTGTAACTCCAAATGTGTTTGGAGTCTTGTAAAGTCCCGGAGTCTGCTATTTCCCTCGTGGTAAGGTATGACTCATATAAACGAGAAACAATGACTATGCTTCATGGCGGTCTACAGCCAACCCGGTGCGTTCTAAACGGTTCAGATCGGTATCGCTCTTGAAAAGCCCTAGCGATTGCAACACTATTTTTATATGCGAATGCATTTGACCTTATCTCAGATTGCTTATCAAATCACAGATCATCAAACACAGCAGCAATTATTCATCTGAATACTATCGGATTCTCCGATACATTTCGAGACACATTCTGTTTCCGTTAATCGTCCGTTGTAGCTTTCTGAAATTGTCGCTTCCATTTATTTCTCACCATAATAGGTCATCTTCTTTTTGTGCATAATTTTTTGTTTTCTTGCTCCTGAAATATTCTAATTTTCATCCATTCGTGATTTTTAACTTTAGCTTCCTTTTTAAATTAGATTACCGGATACATTTGCAGCTCCGCAAATGTCATTTTCAGAGCAATAGAATTAAGCGGTGTATGAAGCATCTATGCATTGATAGAAGCAGAAAGTAAGCGAAAAGTGGAGAAAAAAATCAGTTCATGTGCCTCTATGTCCGTTCGCGTGTTCAAAAATGTCCACTAACGTCGTATACACTGAGTTTTTGTAACACGACTTCCATCAGTATCAGTAACAGTTATTTGGGCACACTGGCATTTGCAACAGTCCGTATCATTTCTGCATGGTTCTTCGGTAGGACATCCCTTCGCACAGACCGGCTCTACATAGGGATTCAAACACGCACCGTACTCATCGTTGTTACGTCGAAAACACTGACACTCAACACCAGAAACACAACAATCGGCATCGTTTGTACATTCTTCAACTAAACAGCAATTTGATGTGTTAGATGCTCCTGTTGTCATTTGTGTCCTTCCTGTGGTTGTCATCGCTGTTGGTGTTGAAGAATCCAAGGAAAAGTTTGATACATTGTATATATTAACACATTGTTGGATCGCAGAATCATAACATGTGCCATTACATAATTTAATTTGATCAGCTTGATAATACCAATACCCATTACTAGCATTGCAAACCGTCACATTATTCAGACATACTTCGTTGTATCTAAGACATCGTTGATTACATGATCGAGATGGATATGAGCAAACGGTGTTGTTGAAACATGCTTCATATGTGGGATCATAACATTGATAATATGGTGGATTATACGGATTTCCGTACCAGTAATCATATTTAACGAAACAGAATCGTTGAGTTAGGCTACATACTGTTCCATTCATACATTGCTGTGTATTGGAATTATAACATTGATTTCCACAGGCCGCAATACATTGAATAACTGTACCGGATTCAGTGCAATATTGCGTAGTGGTATCATAACAAACCGTTCCGCCACACAATGCTTGTGAACTGGGACATGAGATGCGTGTTGTTACAGTTGATTGGCCCTGAACATTTGATACGGCAAAAGCGGTAAATAAGAGCCAGATAACCATACTTTTCATAAGGGGAGCGAATGGAAACATGGGATTGAAAGCAGAATTAGATTCGTTGCACTAGCTGTCTCGATCGTTATGATCAGTATTGTTTTTGGTATGTTGAATTTGAATGTTGAGATTATTGTTGCACCTCTGATGTGGTCTTTATATGACGTCTGAAAAAAAGATTATGACAAAGAGACCTATATTTGAGACAGTTGCTGTCGTTGCTGTGTAAGAAATTAAACAACACCAAGCACTTGACATATAATAGTTTGCTACGAGAAAGTTTTGAACGCCACGTGTGCGCCTTTTCTAGTTTGTATGAAAAGTGGAATGAATAAAATTTTTCTACCTGAGTTTCTTCAATAAATTACTCACACTTTTGTTGTGAATCCAGCGTGCTATGCATGGAAAGTGGATAGAATGTTTGGTGCCTCGACTATCACCAATGCTGACACATGAGTCTATATTGAAGCGTGTCAGCGGAGAGCTGGAAAACATTCCCGAAAAATGAGTTACCGTTCGATTTACAGCAGAGAGGCTTTACTCGCCAGAGGGTCTGGCAGAAATGCTTTTTGGAAGAAGCAGAGTTCATTCTCTTAAGGGCTTTTTCCAATAAAAAGCCTTGATCCATTTCAATTTTCTTGAGGAGCATTAAAAAGATATAGGAAGATACCGTTCATTTTCTTGTTTTTTGTATAGATAAATTCTAGTAGTTATGGTAGTTTTCCAGCAGAACTAGAACTATTTCACGGAGGAAATAGTGTTTTGACTTCAATCTTCGTAAAGAGTGTTAAAAGACACAAAGAGGTATCGATTGCTGGTACAGTGAGTCATAGATATATATATATTGTTTGTTTTTTCCATTTCTCGTTATTGTGCATGACTGTACGGAGAGTAAACTATTTCTGCTTGAAAAAGAACAATATCTCGATCTGTTGGCCCTATTGTTCACTGCTGTTTCAGCATCTACTCTTTGAAATGCTAAATCCTCATTTTAACATTAATGTATTATTGATCTTATCTAGTTAAGCCAGTGAATCCAAGGTGATTTTTGCGATGTGTTTCCTAAAGAATTCAGTACCAGCATAAATCGAGGCAAAAAAAGGTGTCCTCGAGCTGCGTGTAATGCATTTCACGTTGACTTGCAGTCAATTGAGGAAAAGTAAAAAAATGTGAAAGTCACCAATACTCTACCTGAATATATCAAACATATGTGGACAGAATAGTGTCACAGATAGCTAGAAGACATTTTATTTTGCTTAGAGTTGGCCCTTCTGCAACTTTTTACGGTTTACAAAGCTTTTAGATGAGAAATGCAAGACGTGTGTTACAAGCATGTTGTTCACATACCTTCACATCGCTTCAGCTGTTCCTGTCCGTTTTCTCTCTGTTCGTCTTTGGCATTCTCTTCTTCTCTCTCTATTCTGTTTTCGTTCCCTATGTTCACATTCGTTGATTCTTTTTTTGCTCTCTCATGATTCGAAATAAAATCAAACTGAAGGAAAGAAGCAAGGGGGGACCTCTCATAACGTGACTCTTCAGTCTGTAGATCTTTCAAAACTCTATTGTCAAGTTGTTCACCAGCACCTCAATAAACATCTTATTTGTTAGAAAAATCGTCAGCCTGTTCAAATCAATAGAATAGTTTATTCTAGACGTTACTGAGAACGAGAAAAATTCAAAATAACCATATTCTAACAATTATGAAATATTGTTACTGCATATATAACATCTAAACACATTTTGGGCTCATCTTTAATAGCTGAGTCCGTCCGTTTAGCCATTGCGACTAGATCAGTTTCTAGATTAATTTCAAGAACTATCGAGTAGTACAGTTTTGAAAAATATATAATTTTTCAGCATGATTGAAAAAGCCTTCTAAATGTTTGTTCTGCAGCTGTTTTTCCCATGAAAACGCGTTTCTTGCATCGTTTTGATGCGTGTGTCGATGAGCTCTTCGTTCTCAAAATCGTTTGTTCTACAAGGTGTGCTATGAAGATCACTTTGTAATTGTAAAATAGTTTTTAAAAAATCTTAAAATTTCATTTTAAAATTTGACAATATATATAAATTTTAGGCTTTACAAGTTACTATGAATGTTTCTTCCATATCATTGCATGCAGTTTTATCTGCCCTTATGGATGAGGCGTTATTGAAAGAAACACACGTCATTATTAACATACCTATAATAGTTCAACGCATACTGACTCAGGCCGATGACATAAACCTCCGAGCCCGGAGAAAACTTCTGAGAAGCTATGGAAAAAGCACATAAAACATGGAAGCAGTATTCTGACCAACACAACGACGCGCCGAAACTATCATTTGTTAAACATCTCTGATCATCTGAATAGATTGGAAGCTATACCGGACTCGAGCGAGGGATCGTAGGAATCCAACGGAAAATTACAAAGATAGGCTGTATCCTATCAAAATTACTCGAATCTTAACTGCCATCGACCACAATAATCGCAGCAAACTTGCGGTTGGCAAAAATTATATATTTAGGTCTTTTTTTCTATCAAATAAGACTTTTACGGCTAAAAAATCAACTTCAAACAAAGAGCGACCAAAAAAAGACTTTTAAAAGTTATTTTTAAAGGAGATAGTAATTATAATTTTATAAAACATCATCTATTATGTAGCTATTGAGCTGAAAATGACCTATATATGTCTACTTCCATACATAGCATTGCGATTGGTTTTAATTTATGGATATTAGAAATAGTTGGAGAAAAATGACTTCAAAGATTTTTTCGAAAAGAAAGTATTCCATGCGTTCGTACTGTTGGTGAGCAGGATATCAACAATAGCTCTAGCCTCTTTGTCCAAAATATAGTAAATATTTGTGGCGCTAAGATTTGCTATCACAAACGAATTCGCTTAATGTTTCTCTGACTGTTTATCGAAGTCAATATAAATTTTTACCCGGCAGAGTCCTGACGTGTATATAGGCATGTCAATGGATATGTAATTCTTGTCGAGCAAATAATAGAGCCATTAGGGAATCTTTCTACTTCTTCAATTATCTGGCAAGGGCTCATTCCCAAGTGCCCATTCGCTTTTGAATCAGTATTTAATATATTTTGTAGAGCTTAGTGAGTTATGTCTGTCATAAAAAGAGTTCGTGCCCCTAGCCGGTATCTGAGGAGATCGAACGTTTTTAGTTTTATAGCTGGATATTTCCATAGTCTCAACTATGTTGTACACAGATGTTCTCCAATTTCGATGAAGCTTTCAGTGTTTGTAGAGCTTTTAATTCTGAGCAGTTTGATAAAACCATTTTTTCAAAACGGTTTCGCTTTGATAGAGACATGCTTAAGATACTGTAGGCAGTAAAATCTTTAAAAAAACATAAGAAGTTTTTTTTTAATTTTTAGCTTTTTTGCTGCTTGTAGTATTCTGAGTGTCTCTCCATCAAAATAAAAGCCTCCTGAAAGAATTTTTTTATCAAAATGCTTAGAATTAGAACCTCTATAAACAATGAAAATTTTATCGAAATCGGATGACATTTGTGTACAACGTAGTGGAGACTATGAAAATACCCAGCTATAAAACCAAAAAACGTTCGACCTCCTCAGGAACAGGCTAGGGGCATGAATCTTTTCAGGGTAGACATAACTTACTAAGCTTTGCAAGACGCACGAAGTTCAGACTCAAAAGTGAATGGGCACTTGAGAATGTTTCCTTGTAAATTTCTCTTTTTGTAAGTCTTCAAAGAGTTTTAAAAAAAATCTTTTTCAACTTACTCTCATTCTCACTACTAGGAAAACGTACTGAATTGTATGATGACCTATATATAGGTTGGAGCTGGTCCGTCAGTGAATAGTGCGGCTAGTCTATGAAATGACGAGTCATAACAGAACGTAGTCTTTTAAGATGACGTCTATTTGGACGTATTGTTAGTTTGATATTCGAAGGCTATTCCTGCAATTAGTGACGGCTAACATGGATTAACCCTTGTGCATACGCTGCCGTTTATAAACTTCGGGAACATCATCTTTGTATGAGCTGAAGTAATCATTTATATTGTATGCCTTTTAGAGGCATTTGCCTAACAACAAATGTTTTGCACTTAGTGCTTTCTAAATCGCCCTTCTGCTCAGGCACGCTATACAATCGTTCCATATAAAAATCAACAAATTTTCTGAAAACCCGTTTCTTCCTCCTCTTACGTCGACGATCAAAGAGTTAATGCTTGCATCCAAGATAGTGCTCACCGGTGTCAGACGTACCTATCGCCATTGCAAGATAAGGCCGATCGGTCCCGCTCAAGCAATATCACGGATTTCAATGAAACTATCTCGATATGCAACTCCTAGTGAGATGCAAAAATGTCTAAAATCTCACGTTATGGGTGGGTGTGGGTGTGGATGTGGGTGTGTCCGGTGTGGTTGTGGGTGTGATTGTGCATGTGCCGGGTGTGGGTGTGATTATGTGTGTTTCGGGTGTGGGTGTGAATGTGAGTGTGAGTGTGGCAGTGGATGTGAAGTAAGTGTGAATTTGGCGAAGACCCGCACCCGACACCCCAGTCACATTCACCCACACCTGCACCGACACCCATACCCACCCACCAGCATCCGCGCACATCTTCGAGGCAGACAAAAGTGGAAACACACAGGCATAGGATTCGTTACGCACTGATACGAGAAAGTTTCACTATCTGAAAGATTCTAGATGCCAATACTGAAGATGTGGTATGTTCTTAAGAGAAGTGGCAGGATACGCGCATCTCCATAAAATTGGGCAATGTATGAATATAACTGTTTTAATTAAGATGCCCTTTTATAGAGAGCGAAACATCTCCTGCATCTGCTGCATCTTCAAGTGCCTCTCTAGGATCTTCGATTTTTAGGATTTGTGATACCTATCTGATTCGTCCTCAATATTTCTCTTTGAATAAAAGCCATTTCTTATACTTTTTATTAAAGTTTTCAGCATAAAAAGAGATTTCTATGTAACCTTAATATTACATTCCTTACCTTGAGTTTGTTTATGCACCATGTTTGGCTAACCAGCGTATTTATACTGCCAGTGAATGG